GAGGCATTATTATAGGCGGGGACTTTAATAGGCAAGATCTACTCTAGGGCGGAGACCAAATAAAACCGTATTTAGTAGGAGACGCTGCGTCTCTAGTACTCTTTATACAGGACTATAAGCTCGAAAGCTACCTCCGCCGCGTAGTACCTTCTCAAATGCGAACTTTTCCCTTAAAGCTACGGATCGGACCACCGCCCTATCTACTCGGAATAGAGCCTAAAAATAGAGTCTAAAGTAGAGAGAACTCTAAAAAGGATATATAAACGAATAGACTAGTCGAAAGTAGGGAAAACTATCTAGGACGCCCTAGTAATACTAGAATATATCTATACCCGCGAGGAGCTCGACATAGCCGTAGACTAACTAATTACCACTACAACTTAGACAATAACCGAGCTAACCCCTATAGCAAAGCCGTGCCAATACTCGAAACAGTGGTTTAATCCTAAACTTAAAGAATAATAAGTAGAACATAATAAACTACGAAGGTTTTAGCAAGCATGCTACGCCGCGAGAGGTAGAGACGACCCTTTCACCTAGAGTCAGTTCGCAACAATATAAAAGAGTCGTCGGGAATAGGTGAGAGCAATTAAACACGTAAAGAGTAGCTATTAGAAAGACTTCCTAGACCGCGCGGGCGAAGGAAACCTAGTCTAGAAAGCGGCTAAGTATACAAACTCGAAAGACGACTACGGCGCTATCCCTCTATTAGTAACGGATAAAGGACAAGCTATAACCAACGAAGATAAAGCGACACTTCTTCTAAACAACTTCTTTCCTGAACCTACCCTACCTAAAGAAAACCCGGAATCACCGTAACAACCTCCACTTGAATAGCACCCAGTTACTAAAGAAGAAATACTCCTTAGTCTACAGGGAACTAAACCAACGTCGGCCCCTAGAGAAGACGGTTTACCGATATTAGTCTAGCAAAAGATTTGGCCCTACGTATCCGAAGCTATCTACCGGATCTTTAGGGCGTCTCTAAATCTAGGATACCACCC